GCGGCCAGCCCCGCCTGCGTCGTGCTCCTCGGCTCCATGCTTCCCGAGATTACACCCGCGCGGCTAGCCCGCCTGCGTTGTGCTCCTCGGCTCCATCTTCCCTGTAACTGCGCTTGCATGGCCAGCCCGTCTGAAAGCTAAAGCCATGCCTCGGACTCCCGTTACAACGACCGACGCATATCTTCTTTCCGGGGGGGAATATGATGAGGATAATAATTATGATAAGACTCGACTGACGTCAGTCGACGCCTCGCGCCTCGATCGACGCGACGACACTCGATCAACCGAACCAGAACACCGGCCGAGGCACATTAACGCCTACGTAGGCGCGGTTCTACACACCACACCAACCCCCATGTCAGACGCTATCAGCCTGCCTCCTACAGGCGGGCACATCAAACAACAGTAAGCTTCCCTATAAATACCCTCTCGTTCATCAGAGAAGGGGAGGCGGGACACACAAACGCTTCTTCCTCCGAAACCCCCTCCACATCTTCTGCTAACTTTATCGTCGGAGGGGTCGGGCCGAGCGTCCCGGCCCGACCTTTGTGCAGGTGCGAAGCCGAGGGTCCCAGCCGGATGCGCGAACGAGGAGTTTCTGCCCGGAGGACACGACGACCCCGTCCCGATCGGACCATCGCATCGAACCGACCCCACGGGCTCGAGGGACGCCCCGGGGTGATCCCCGTCGCCCGGACCCGAACCGAGCCACGTCGGCCCCGAGGCACAGGCTCAAGGCTGTTTCCCACAACAAGCCTCTTCACGTTCCATCATCAAACTCACATATGTCTTGATGACCAATAATACTCTTGTCTTCTTCTTCTTCTTCTTCTTCTTCTCTTCTTCCCATTTGGACTTTTTGGGTTAAGCTATGACAAAAGTGAGAAAAACCCAGGATTAGATCCACGAAGATGAATAATTTGTTTGACTTGTCGCCATCGTCTGAAACCTAAGTTTTTATTCGAAAGGCAAGCAAGAACTTCACCTGAAGCACTCACTCAGCACAAGTATTGTATCGAGAAGGTCAGACCAGAATTCATTGCAGGAGAGCAAAAGATAGATAGAGTCAGTGTATCGAGTTAGCTTCAGGTTATGACAGCAATCAATTCTACCATGCATTTAGGTATTTAATCTGCAGATAAAAATGCTGATAGATTTCCATCATTTACATACTTACTAACGTAGACAACCATAACTCCATCCATTCTATGTTCTCCATAAGTGTAAACCAATGTCATGCTTATTTACATCTAAAAATGTTGATCGAGTGATGAGGTTGGTGGTTGACTTAATGGGGCCCAGCTGATGGTAGTAGGGCAGACATTCCAAGGATTTAAATGAGAAGAATGAGTAGTATTATACATACCACCAAGACAAGAACCACATGACCATGTATTTATTGTGTGATTAGAACTTGCATTCCTAATAGAATAAATCCAAAAGTGGATGGCGATGTTGTCGCATTATTTGTTTGTCTTCTCGTTCTTGATCATTTAGAATTTTGCAAGCAAACTCCTACTCCCAACCACAACCAAATGAGGCCATATTTGTTTCAACAAATGTAGGTGAACCAAATTGTGAGCAATCGATATGCTTTTCCAGTATTCAACTCAACTCTGTTCGTATGGATTACGATGCTTTTTGTATATATAGAATATTTGGTTCTTAGCAGATGCTTGCTTAAACCTTTTATGGATCCTGACATGGAGATCACTCAAACCTTCTTCCGGTGGTGCAGGGCCAGGCTTACGCCATAGATCATTCATTTAGCGAGGAACACTCGGTGGTGCGGACTTTGCCCAGTGACGACGGGGTGTCGCAGTCGCTGCCCAGTGCAGTTGAGGTGGGGGGAGCTCCACTATGGATGGATCGTCGCGAAGCACACCTGCTGCGCTCACGTCACCGTGCATTAAAGGGAGTCGATTTTCTTGTTTCTTTTATAGTTTTATTGATTTGATTTGATGTTTACCGAGCTCGCCTCGTCTTGTTGCTTCCGAAACCACATTCATCTTCACCTTCACCGGAGTATCGTATCCCGGGCTAATAACAAAATACATTACCGATGATCTTCTGCATGGATTTGATCTTGGCTGATGGGACGCCGAGCGGCGGTAAGGAGTTTGTGGGATCGCGATGCTCGTGTGTGAATGGGCGTGTGGCTGGAGCGTTGTTCTAGTCCCTCTCGGTAATGCCGCCATCACCGGAGGAAGAGCACCATGCAATCACAGTCTTTGTAATTTTCACAGACGTGGGTCGGGGGTAAGAACGCCGGATCGGCCGTGTTTTGCGGTCATCGGTTGGTACTGCTTTCGGGTTGAAGAAGACTGTGTCGGTACACGTGGATGTGCGACGTCAAGGAGCGGATCACATCAATCATCCATCACGGCATCCGCCAACCCACCGACTTCCCCTTCTGTTTTGGCCATTAATTCCATCGAGAACCCGCATTTAATTTCCCAGTGGTCATCTCTCCGTGCGACGGGTCAGTGAGGTGGGAAACTCTCTTCTCCTCTTAGTTTCTTTGCCCTCTGGTATTGACATGTCTCGTCCGGATGGAGAGCAGAGTGTTTTCAGCCTGGAGCTTTTCGCTCTCTCTCTCCTCTATGCTTCTCTGCCTTTCTCCATAACGCTTCCATCCTTTTCGGCGGGTTTGAACTCGGTTGGCGGCTGTTGCTGTCACTAGAAAGACAAGATGCCAAGCAGGGTTTGTGGGTTTCAGCCGGCTATCGACGGCAAGCACCGAGTTTCTACTGCGGCATGTATGAGCGATATTACTTTTTAGGGAGAGGGCTTCAGGAAATATTTTGGAGGAGGTCAGGTAGATTCAATCACATGGCCTATCCTGGTCTTCTTGCTACGAGGTGGTTCACTGAAGATTTTAGAGGGAACAAGGGGTTGCTGACATCCCTTGGGGCTTCACTGAAGCATCCTTCGAGAGAATCCGAACTTGTCACCGACATGATTAGTAACACTAGGATGATTGCTCTGCAATCCATTTGAGTTTCTCAGTGGATCGCTGGATGCCTCGCTCCTTTTCTTTTTCTTTTTTGTTAACCATAGCTTGCCTATTGCAATTCAACTTGCTTTACTGTTCTAAGCATTTACATACTGCAATCATCTAACCATATTGATGTTCCTCTCTCAAGACCCCACAATGTTCTTGAAGAAAATAACATATTATTCATAAGCTTGTCCAAAATGCCTGAAAGCCTCTGCTTTCTTTTTGTATGCTAGAGATGAATGTATTGCCCTTTTCGACTTTTAGCAATTCTGGTGATCCATGTTGGACAGAGATACAGTGTCGTTGGTAGATTGTTCCCTCTTGTGTTTGGAAGGATTGGTCTGTTTGAGACTATCTGTTGCCATCTTTTCACGATATATTACCCTTGCATGATTATTTCCCTGCAGGAAGCATGGTTGGATGGAAGAACCTATCATGGTAGAATCTTCTATGAATATGCAACTGATAGAAATCTCAGAGTTCTGTCGTTTCATCTAGGAACCAGAAGCAATGAGGATACTAGCTAGAATTGTATATCTAAAGCAGTAACTGTGGTTTGTTCGTCCATTATGTCTTGCGAAATAAGATGATTATACTTGTAGTTCATTTGCAAGAACTTTACCCTTGTTTCTAAAGCAAAATGTATCACTAAAAGAGTTCATATGAATCTTTCCTTCATATTGTGTCCTTGATAAATTAATAGATGGGTCTCAGGTACTTGATGTTAATCTTGTTTGGTCACCAATATCTGATTTCTTAAGTTGATATAACTGGAGAGGTAAAATCTCAATCATCTATTCGTCGACCTTGGTAGACAAACATTAACTTCCTTTCAATTACTTTCATCTTCTTTGTTTGTGAAGTTTTCCAGATAATTTGTGTTTCCAAATATCTGGTGAAAATGCATTACTCACAATGATATTTTTTTCGTACGTCTCTAACATCATAAGAATTTGCACATACAAAAAGGAGGAGGTATATGATTTTGATAGTTTGTGAAGATATTGTTCTACTCGAAGATACTTGTTATCAGTTAGGCCTCCTCCAAGAGAGTATATCTATTATGTGAAAATTTGTTAGGATATAAATCCTTAGACTGGCCATCTTATCTTATACCTTTGCTAGGTGGATGCGATACTTTGATAGTTGATGATGTCATTGCATTGCTCTTGTCCTCTTTCTGAAACATAGCCTATATGTTGCTAAAATGACAGTGATGTCCTTGTCTCATTTGTGCTTAATGTTACCTTGTTCCAGGTCATCTTGTTTTTGGTTGCTCAAGTGCTTCTTTAGGGATGTGTTTGACATTTTACATGATGCTTGGAGCTACTAGTTCGTGATTATTATGATGAAAAAATGAAGCCTCAGAGCCGTGTGCTTATCAGAGTGTAGACAAGTAAAATGTCTGATACCCTCAATGAAAAGGTAATTCTTAGTTGAAGCTGTTTTTTCTAATTTAAACAGTGAAAAGTATAAAATTGATCTTCTATTCAGCAGTCTTTTGTTGCAAAAATATGCTTTTTGATTGCAATGATTTTCATACAAAAGTATTATTTGGGTAGGAGTTTACTATGTATGCATTTACTCTTCAGGTTGGAAGCGACTCTCATGAAATCGTACCTGTTCGAGATGAAAAACGGCCAAAGCTTTCCATTGATGTACCCACAAGAAATATGGGGCTTTCCTCCATGAATTATCTAAAAGCAAATGTGCCTTTAACGCCTGGCTCCGATTCCAATAGGATAAATATTCTCCCAATATGTAGCCCTGCATCTGCAAAAATGCATGCATCTCCATGCTCGACATCATCTAAGGGTAAACCTTTCATAAAGAAACTTCTTTCAGGACTAAGCTTCAAGTTCCAGCCTTCAGCTTCAGAAGTAGAGAGATACGAGACTCAAGCTCCAGAGGCATATTCTGCGGAAAAAGGGGGAAAACCTTCCCTGTTGGGCTCGTTTTCCTTTTCAAAATTATTCAGCCCGAGAATTAGGAGGACATCATCGTTGCCAATCAACTCAGACTTACATGGCAAGAGTCCACATGGCAGTACAATGGTTCATAACAGCTCCTTGGAAGTAAGTTGTTTATCATCCATGGGAATTAAAATTTTAATTATATCATCTTCACCATTTTAGTGAAATCATACTTTATTTTTGCAATTTGCATGAGTGAGTTTCATTGTAATTCAGCCATTGTTGGAGATGTGCTGCGCTCTTTTTTATTTTTGCCTTACACTCTTCATTTACGAATTCCATTTGCTTTGTCAGAGAAAAGAGGTCCAGCATCATATATCTCGTTCGCTTTCACTCCCCACAGATATCAAACATATCAAATCTAAAAGTATCAAGAGGATGAACTCCCTAGGCGGTGTATTCCGAGTAATTCCTTCTACTCCACGTGTGGTGGACTTGAGTAGCCCAGTGGCAGATTCCATCACTCCCGTAGACTCTGGTATATCATCAAAGCATCTTTGTGATAATATATACATCCTTGTGATACAACTTTTCTCTTGACATCTTGGCTATTTAAACCATGCAATATGATCATCTAGTCATCATCTGTTTAGTTTGCAGCAGTTTATAAAAGTGACACAGATGGAAATAACTGGTTTCTAAAGCTCCAAGTAAAATGCATTCTTTTCATCATCATCTAGCTACAATGGTTGATTTATTTATTTACATTATTTAGCTATTGATGGTGATGGTGAGGACATACCTGAGGAAGAGGCTGTCTGTCGAATCTGTATGACAGAGTTGTCAGAAGGCAGTAATACTCTCAAGCTAGAATGCAGCTGCAAAGGTGAACTTGCATTAGTCCATCAAGAATGTGCTGTCAAGTGGTTTAGCATTAGAGGGAATAGAAATTGTGAAGTTTGTGGGCAGGAAGTTGAGAATCTATCTGTAAGACTGCTACGAGTGCAAAGTGTTCAGACGGCTACAACACTCCCAGGCATGTCCAGACAAAGAACAGTGTATTTTTACAGGTAAAAAGTTAAATACATAGTCTTGAATGTTCTAACAGGGACGTACATAGTCTCATTATCATTGCACATGATTGCAATAACATTGAATTCTGTACTTGCTAGAGAATCATATTTTTAGATGCTTTTATGAGGATAGTATTAGTAGCACCATATTGGCTCCTCCACTTTCTCAAGTAGACATTTGTCTCTTAAAACTTATTAGGAAGCCTATTCTAAAGCATTGGTCTTCCATCTTGAAAGCTTAGTGTCAGGGAAGTAGGATGGTTCGTGAGGGATCTTACGAAAAGAAAAGCCTTATTCCAGGTTAGATTTTATGTTTAATCATCCATTGAGAAAATGGACTCCCTCCTATCTTGTATGATGACCTAGACAAGTCATGATCGGTACTGTTCCGCCTAGGTTTTTTTTTTCATCAGATGTCAAACTGTTCTGAAAACAAAGTTACAGACAGTCTATCAAATTTGCCTTCCTAGAAGGCTTATATGGTTCATCACCCTACCCCAGTTAGCTAACCTATGTGCTGAATCGTTAGGATCTTGTTGTATATGTTGAAAGTTGACAACATTGACCTCCTTGGCCAACTTTACAATGTCCTTGTGTAGGTTCCAGAGGTACCTTGCCAAGGCACCTATCTGTGATCATAGACAAAATTGGTCCATTCCAACGAGTCCATACAAACGGCTAAGCTGCGACACCCACACTACTGGGTCCTTTCCAAGGCTTCCAAAATGGCCCTTTCCTTCACTTGGTTTGGGGTTTGCACCTTGCAGTAAGCCGACCCTGGTTCGTTATGACTAAGTAGCCCCAACCTGCAGTATTAGATAGATGTAAAGGAACCATCACATACAATGGTAAAGTCATGCATCAACACTTTTCTTCTGTAAGTCTGGTCATTCCCCTCAGGGTATTGGATATTGTTTAGGAAATCAATAGTGGCAGACACTATTTTCCAGAATAGAACATGTACATTGCTCTGGTGGTTGTGGTAATGGCAATCATTCTTGTTAATCCACAGTTGCCATAAGGTATTAGCTATCACTGTTCGAAGCAAGATTGTTTCATCTCTAGGCCTACCCTTTTGTTCCTCCAACCAAACCCCAAACCTCCAATTATCAAAATCAGAAAAGTCTAATTGTTACTGATCCCTGATCATACTCGATAACAAACCAGCACATCTACAGGAAAACAGTATATGAACAGTATATTCTTCTACACTTCCAAATTGGGCAAAGCAGAACCAGGGAATGTATGATATTAGATATGTGGTCCAAATTAGGCAGCCTATTCCACAGTATTTTCCATTAAAAAAAATTAATTTTGGGATAAACATTCAGCTGCCATAATGCCATCCAACCAGACCAATTATCATTCTCATATGGTACTCCCTCTCTCAACAAGCGATAAGCACTCTTGACGGAGGCTTCACCACTTGGAGTAAGAACCCAAAACCAGCGATCATCACCAGGGTTGCTAGAGATCTAAATGTGTCACCGGGGTTGCTAGAGATATAAATGCAGAGAATTCTGTCTAGTAAGAGGGGATGGAAGCAGTTAGACAATATAGCCAAATCCCGGCAATCATTCGTTCGAAAATCTGAAACCTTAGAATCAACGAAATTAAATCCACATTCACAAAAGTAGGCTACCTATTAAAACGTATGTTGTCAAACCAAGGATCGTTCAGAATATCAGTGGTGGTTCCATGTGCCAAGCAACGACGATGACCACCCCGAATAGATGTGATTAGGTTACAAATGTTTTGCCAGTTCCATGAGGTAAGCCGTTTGAGTCTATGGTTCCAGGGGTGTATCTTGCCATACTTAGCTCTTAGAATGTTAACTCATAAAATGTCATCGTTGTTGAGGAGAGGTAGAATTCATTTTGCACGCAAGGCTTTCCTAACCAGTCTCAGGTCATGTATACCCAACCCACCATCTTTCTTATACCTAGTAACTGTATCCCACCCAATAAGGTTCATCTTGTTAGAATAACTGTCATTGTTCCAGAAGAATTCCTGGGACAGGCATCTCATTCTTTTGAGTATGTGTTCAGAGATTTTGGTGTTCATCAAAATATGAGTCGGCAATGAGCTTTAAGACTGAATTAATTAGCATGGCCTTCCCAGCCTGCGATATAGTTCCTTTAAGCCAACCTTGGATTCTTTCTGGCCGTATCCACCAGAGAAGTATGGAATCTCATAGGAAGAGGACCATAGGTGATGAATGATCCCAAATACTTCATGGGCTGGGATCCTTCTTTATAATCAAGGGAGTGAATGATTTAACGCTTAACAACTAGAGCACTGCTGTGATAGAAAAAAGGATGAGACTTGTCTTTGTTAATGGTCAGACTAGTAAGCTTAGAATAGGTGTCTAATATCAGTTTAAGGGATTGACAGGTTTTGAGGTTAGCTTTGAAAGCCACAAAGACATCATCAACGAACATTAGGTGTGAATTCCTAATTCCGTGAATGTTAAAGGGGGAAATTCCCTAGATTTTGCTGAGTAAGGACTAAGGATAAACAAATACAAGGGAAGTGGATCCCCTTGTCTGATACCTCTCTTATCCTTAAACCACTCAGAGTACAAACCATTAGCATTGCACAAAAAAATAGGAGAGGAAATGCAGGCATGGACCCATCCACTAAATTTCTGAGGAAAATTCATCCGGGACAGTGTTTCCCTTGTTGCCATCCAAGACACTTTATCATAGGCCTTACAAATGTCTAACTTCAACAAGGTCAAGGGGTTTCTACATCTAAATTTAGTGATCATGATGTTGTCATGGATGTTTCTACCTGGTGTAAAGGCTGATTGTTCATAATCCACAAGACCATCAAGAAAGGGCTTAATCCTATTGGCAATGGTTTTAGCCAAGATCTCGTAAATTACATTATATGAAGAGATAGGACCCATTAGGGTTCTTCGGGATGAAATCTAATTTTAACTGTATTGTTTCTCCATAGACTTTGTGGATTCTGTTCATCAAGACATGATATTGGGGATTTCTGTTGTTGTCCTAAGTGCTCCAATTTTTTCACTTTCCGAGTTATTTCCCGTGCTCTTGAAATTTATGCAATATTTTTGGTATATGCCCATGATGTGGCTTGTCCACGTTGCCTTGGGTCTGCTAATCTATATGGTTTTACGGTACTTTTAGTCTAATTCTTTAAGAACTTTCCACAAGTCAGAAAACAATTCAAGAATCTGTCTGCTTTGTGTATTGATATAAAATTTCCTTTGAGCCACTTGGACCAAGGACTCGATTAAGGTCAGCCGCAAGCTCACTGGTGTTGTATCGGAGAAATACATGAATTCATGCTTCGATTTAGCTTGGTGGTGTTTCTAATGTTGCTGCTTGTTCTCAGGTTCTCGCACGAGATGCCTGTTCTCGTCATCATCAGCATGCTTGCGTATTTTTGCTTCCTCGAGCAGCTATTGGTAAGAAACATCTACACCTCTTGTAGCTTATCTATACATGACTGGTACAATTGGCAGGTAGCAGATGTCGGTACTGCTGCACTAGCTATTTCGGTGCCCTTCTCGTGCATCTTGGGAGTATTCGCATCCCTCACCGCATCGACCATGGGTAAATTTTACTTGTGCGAGATGATAAATGTAGTAGTTTAATTCATGTTCTGATGTGGATCTTTCATCCAAATGTAATTATAGTGATGAAGAGATTTGTTTGGATCTACGCGACGGTTCAATTTATGTTGGTGGTCTTCTTCGCCCATCTTTTCTACTCCTATGTAAGTAGGACACAAAATCTGCACAGACGAAAAAAGCTCGGTAGTGAAATCCTGTGTGTTAAGTATGTGATCAACATTTTTTCTTCTGGAACTGCAGCTTCATATGCAAGTCATTATATCCATCGTCCTCGCTATGTTTGCTGGATTTGGTGTTGCGATGAGCGGAAATACGATCGCCATCGAGTCATGGAGATGGAGGAGGAGGAGGAGGAGGAGGTGGCACTTTGCGTCAGCTGGCAGTCTCACTCCTCTAGAGATTGTGCCATCGTCGAGCCAACAACAGGTATAATGAGCACACAGTCTCTCTCAACATTTGCATCATCACAGTGGAGTGAGTGATATCAATCATTCCTCCTGATCTCTATTATGTTTGTGGAGTGGTATATCACGAGACTGATCATTTGTTGCTGGGCCAAATGGGTATCTATCTAAAGCTAATTATAATCTTCGGAGTTGATGGATTGGGTTTTGCTATTATATATGTATCTATGGTCGATTATAATGTTGCGTTGGAGAATTGTTTTCTGTTTTACAGTAGACGAGGATAATAAATCTGCTCCGAATGCTATGCTGGCAAACAGTTAGTTGGATGCACGCATTAAGATCAATTGCACACGGTGATCACGTGGAATGATAGTTAAGATCATTTAATGTTAGTATTAGGCAAAATGATAATTAATGATAATTGCATTAAGATTATTGAGATCAAAATGATTAGTTACAACAACGACCCCTTCTGTTTGAACGACAAAAATAAAATAAAATGGAATAAGAAAAGATTATTTTTTTCGATGGTTATATATATATATGCCTCTCACACACTCTCTATTATTTTATATGGTCTAAGAAAAGAATTAAGATATGCAAACCAAACCAAATGTACTTAAGCTAACAACAAAACCCACCCAATCATCTCACATACTATGTTTGTAGCCTTATAATGAATTAGTATTAATACCATGGCATCTCATCCTCACAGGATCTCCCTGCGGGTGGCCGAACCATACCTGGCCCGCCGGATGTTCTGCCGCCGCTTCCGGTACACCGCCGCCCCCATCCACGCCAGTGCCGCCGCCGCCGCTATTACCCCTACCGCGATCTCCGTCTTGTTCCCACTCCCACCCTCTCCTCTCTCATCCGCCTCAACCATCTCCGCGGTTTCGATAGCCCCAGTTCGGATCTCGTCGTTCGGCAAGGCCGACGACCACAACGGAGCCAGAAGTGGAAGGGGGCTGGGGCTTCCAGGCAATGGAGCCGGAGAAGGAAGGGAAGAGGCCAAAGGCGAGGGAGATGGAACGAGAGAGATGCGCGCGGGCTCTAAGGGAGCAGGCGCCGACGACGACGAAGCCAGAGAGGACACGGAGTTCCCGGGCAATGGAGCCGCCGAGAAAGGGGAAGAGGCCATCGGCAAGGGAGAAGGTGGGAGGGAGATCTGCGAGGACGAAGGATCCGCCGTCGAGAGGAGGAAAAGCAGCAGCAGAGGAGGGAGCAATGCTGTCACCGCCATGGTAAGCCACCGCGCTCTCTGTCCCTCACGAGGTGCCAAGGGTGAGATAAATAGAGAGGCGATGGGTGGCCGTTACTGGCTGACGGACGTTAGAATGGATGGTTGGGATGGATGGAGTCTACGCAACGAACGATGGATCGAGACGGGCAGGTTGGTGATGGATAGGACGGGGCAACTTCTCAATGTTAACGGGTCTCGGATCTTCGATCAAGCCGACTGCTTTGCGGAAGCGGACTATTGGATGATCTCGGCTCAAGACACCGCAACGGGCGAACGAGGTTATCAATGCGGATCCCGTTACGCCTCCTCTCCTCTTCGTACGCCTTTTTAGACAGCGTGGGATACGCCTTATTCTCGGTGATGGACTTCAATCATGCAAAGCATGCGATCCTCCGAACCCGCGCTGCTGCCTATCTTTCAACTCCTGCAAGAAAACCAAAGGAAAGAATTCCTCCGTGCTCAGATCCAAAGGCTTTCTCTGGGTGATAGCAAACGCATGTTATATTGGGACGTGAACTACAAGAAGATAATATTAGATCTACATTCGTGCATTATAATAATTATTGGTGAACAAATGTGTTGTGATTGGTGAGTTAGCATGGCCTGCTCCACAGGTCAATGTCGGGAGTCTTCTGTCAACTGAGCTAGATGCCGAGGTCGATCAAACCCTCGTGACGAGATATTAATCAATGTTCCTTGTGTGCTGATCCGAGCGCTGTGTATGCCGAGCTGCGTCTCTCCTTCTTCGGGGTGGCTAGCAGTTCGCCTTTGTGAGGTGGCTGGATTTTCCTGTAAGAATGGCCCTCATCGGGATCACCCGACGAGGCCCCTCCGACGAGCAAGTTAGTGGAGTGATCAAATGATTTTTGCCCCTCCGACGACCAGATGCTGGCTAGAGGTCTTTATAGTACTGCACGTGGGTCGATCGTATGCGAGTTGGCATAGTAGATATGTCAAACAATGTCTTGGTATGAATTTTGACTTGACATGTTTCGAGAGCGACTCTGCCTCGAGATTCCTGAGATATGACGTGCCGAGCAATGTCTTAGTACGGATTCTGATTGTGGCGTGCCGAGCAATGTCTTAATACGGATTCCCGAGATATGACGTGCCGAGCAATGTCTTAGTACGTCTTGGGTCAAAATATACCATATCAATAATATTGGATCATTTCATTCTCCTTTTTGACATGATTTTCTCCGTCATTTTACCACTCACTGCATGTATTTCTAATTTCCTATCAAATCAGAAACTGAAGCATTTCCAGATTAAAGTTTACTTTTGAGCCTAACATTCATCATGTAAACTTGCCATTGCCTAAACGTGTTATGGCATCGTTGACACACAGCACACTGTGTCAACACTGCAGCAATGCCATCAGCCTCCATGTGGCGAGTATAAAGAAACAGCATGTTAGCTTTCCACTCGAGAAAGGGGGGCTTTATAAGAAGACAGTCCATTATTCTTTGTAATTTGAAGCCTACTTTTACAAATGACTGACATTATGCCAAAATCTTAAGTTACAAGATTTTTCACGCTGAACTAACTGCAGGACGAAATTACTGTGTTTGAGCAACTCGAAGGACTTACAATTCATCTTTGACATCCGCACCGCCACTTTTCTCACCAGCAGAAGCAGATCCATCAGAGGCCTCAGTTTTCAGGACTGATGCCGGCCTCTGGAGCTTGAATGGGATCGATGCATGCTTCTTAATGAAATTGTAGAACGCCTTCACTGTTCTATCTGCATCCACTGTGATCTACATATTTCCAGTGACAAAGAAGCACAACAATGTCATGATATGAAAGAGGGGAAGGATAAAAAGAAAGAAAGAAACATCAAGATAGTTACCGGTTCAAAACTCTTGTTTCCAGCTGGAAAGAAAAGAAGTGTAGGGAAACCATCAGCCTGAAACAATTCAAACAGATACATTGATATCAGCTTCCACATAGCAATCAGATTATATGTTTGATGCAGTTCAGCCAAGCATCAAATCCATATTCTAGTTTTTACATGATTCCATTTCATGCTTGTGAGGTGATCAAGACCAGGTTGACAGGTGAACAAAACACATCGAGAATAATTAATTGCAGAAGGAAGTGATAAAATAGCAAATTTGGAATAACTCTGCAGGAAGAACATGACACCAAATTATCTATCAAAAATCAATTCTCAAGTTGATCTGAATATTAAGATTATCAAAGAACATGACAGGATTAAGACCTTGGCCCGAGGGTGCTCATTTGTGGTACCATCCATTTTCGCTATCACTAGAGACTCAATGCCCCGAAGATGTTTGGCAAGCTTGTTGTATGTTGGCTCTAATGCTTGGCAATGCCCACACCATGGTGCATATATCTGGATCACAAAATGAATGAATTACAAACTACAAATGAGAATGGCTTCATTTTTTGTAAATGAATCTATTCACCTCAAGAAGAACATCCTTTGATTCATCCAAAACAATCTCATCAAAATTATTTCCAACAATGATTTTCACATCCCCATCATTCTGTGCACATCCACATAAATATAAATTCTTAGATCAGAGAAATGGACACAATAGAAGCTGGAGTGGGAAACTAAGCAACTTACTGTCTCAGGCAACGGATCCGATTTGTAGAAGGGCTTAAGCGTGTCTTCCAAAAAACCCTCAGCAAATTTCTAAACAAAGAAAACAACTCTATTATCTAGATTTCATGAATGTCATAGAAATGTGATTTACCTGAAGGCTGATATGTTATTTTAATATATCAAATAGCATGGTCTAGTTGTTATTTAAGATGTACCTTAACAGCATCAAGTGTGACTTCACCCTCAAGAATAAACTTCTTAGCATCTTCATTTCCTGTGTATGCCACAACCTGTTCAAGTCATATAACAAGAATAAGCATCAAAGGAAAGAAAGACTATAGCTGACATATCCACTACTGTAGATGAAATAGTAATGTCGCCAATCAATAGAACAAATTAGGACAGCTTATGAGAAACATATTTACCTGTGGATCATCTCCAGTGACTCCAAAGTAATCTGAAACTGGTTTACCAACATCCTCATTGTCCATCTCCACATATACAAATATAAGCTTGAGACAGAAATGGAAAACGTCACTAGTCAGATTTCACCCAACAAAATGGAATTAGTATACTGAAATAAATACACCATATAAAAAAAGATGATTGGATTTTAGCTGGATGAAAATTATGTTGGGAACAATATTCAGCCACTCACTTGACAAATCAGGACCCATTAATTCCACAATCAAATATCTGCCAACAAGTTAACGGGACAGAGAAAAAATACATCAATTGATGTACTAACTACTTGCATCAGAGAGACTATTCTCCAACAGTTTATCATATCGCTTAACCGGTAAATTAAGTGCTACCAAGAAAACATGATTAAAACTAACATAATCAAATATATTGGAACTATATATTTATTAGAATAGTGAACTCCTTCACAGCATCTTAGAACCAGAGATCTGCTACACATGTTCAATAGGATTATTTACTCAATAGTATAAATAGAAGAACTGTAATATCTCCATCAGCACATTCTGAAAGTTCACTAAACCCAAAACTAAAGAAAACAAAGTATTTAGTATTCTTCCGAGGATTATGCAACTCATAGAACTGCAGGGTTGAAGTATTAAAACCTACCTTTCCCTTGAAGAATTTTGCAGCCTCCTGGAATGCTGGCATGACCTTTCTGGTATCATTTGAGACAGCAAAGAGCAAAAGCTGATAAAAAAAATAAATGAAGTTCCAAATGAGAAGATAATTAAATTGAGGTTAAATAAATGACATATAATAGCCTTATAGGATCCACCTGTTTTTTAATGGGATTTTCAAATATTTCTGGGGCAGATTCCCTTGTAAATGGAGTGACCAAGGGAAGCTTGTTGGCAAACACAAAATCAACAATTGCTGACTTACTGAATTGACCATCTACATGAAATGAAATCATAATGTCAATAATCAATAACAACCTCTTACACATCATTACAAGTATTAGCAACTCTAGAGCACTACACGAATGAGCATACCAAAGTAGGATATCTTTTCTGCCTCCTTCTTCAACAACACCACAGAGGGACGTTTAGCACTGGGATCAATGTGAAAAAGCTTTGCAACATCAGGATTGACAGTTTGGTAGAAGTTGACACCATCTTCAAGTTTTGAAGCAGCAGAAAACTCCTGACTTTCATCACCCTACAAATAATAAAAGAACAAACAAATGTTACTGCATCAAAAATCACTTTCAGCATCTGACGATATGCCCAATTAATATCCACTAATAGGACATAATGATCATCCAGCACTTGAATCCAGTTTTACTTTATAAGATAGAACTTAAGTTTCACTGTTCTCTGCATATTGCATAATGTTGACTGATTAATATTGTTTCATCATACCAAAACACCATCTTAAATTTTGTTTTCTTCAAACCTTCCATAAATGATGATACGCCATATCCATATATTCTCAAGAATAAAGGTACCAGAGGCATATTTTAGAAAATAAGACACAACTTTGTACTTGAGCAAGTTAGGTTCGCTATGGACATTTATGTACCCATACCCTTGATATCCAATTTCCTAAATATAGATACTGCTTTCGTGGCACTAGACTGAAAGGACCTCAATTTCCCCAGGAACTCATTTTAACAAAATCAACTTTAATAGCAAGCCCAAGTTCTAGGCAACTGAACTGTGTTGAAGCAAGGACTGCTGCACCACTCGAACGGTATGGTATGGGCAGTACATATCAGTCCGGCGTGGGCTGGTATGCGGACCACCAACGTTTTGGGTGGTCCAGTTAAAATAATAAAAAAATAAGAAAAGTGATGGGGCTATCCAACTCGGCATTAAAAAAGAAAAACAAATTGCAAGCCCACTTCTCACATATGATGCTGCTGTCATCACTGCCGCTGTTTCGCAATGTCGCTGCTGCCACCGCCACTGCTTCGTGAATCCTTGGTCATGTCATTGCCGCCAATGCCAACGCCATTGCTTGTGTTTCTTCTTCTTCTCAAGTACTTCTTCGCACGTATGCTCCCACCTCTTCTCCTCCTCCTCTTCTTCCTTCTTTCTTCTCCTCCTCCTCCATCACTTCTTCTTCCTTTTTCTTCCTCCTCCTCCACGCTTCGTCTTCTTCCTTCTTCCTTCCATCTTTTTCCTCCTCTATTCCTCCACTGCCCCTTTCTCTTCTCCCTCTTTTTCTTCATCTGTAAAACACCGGTGCATACCAGTGTACCATATGTCAATATACCAATATTGACCGGTACATATCGGTCCGACATATCGCCGAAATAGGTCAAGTACCTGAAACTACAATCGTTGTGTTGAACAAACCCATTCCTCTTTTTTTCCTTTCAGCAGTCATGGAACCAGTTCAATGCACTTAATATCAATTTTGTAGTTATTTAAAAAATATCAAAAGAATAAACTACCATTGAAGAAATTAACATGAGTTGTTTACAGTTTAAAACTAAAAAGGAGCTAAGAAGATACCACCAAAGAGTCCAGAAAGCCCAAAACCACTTTGCTTTCAGAAGTCAGGATCTTTTCTGCCTCATCAACTGTTGTTATATTTTCAACTCCAGGTCCTATCTTCTTCTTGATCCAGGTGACAATTGCATCCCTGATCATAAAATGATAGGAAAGAGATTAGAAAAGCTGAAGTAAGGGATTATCTAAAGAATTACGAGGAAAAAAATAGAAAAAAAAAAGAGCCACAGGTTAATAAAAGTGAACCCAAGAAAACAGAATTCTGACTACAGACAAGCCCCTGCTTCTTTCTATGGCATCCCCATTACTTGTCAGTTCGCTAAACGACACTCAAATTTCCACTTTTTGCTAATGGATCTTGAGAGACGTTCATTAGTTCCTTGACGCAGATCTATGTCTGTTTCAGACAAGACCATTGATGTCCGCAAGATCATCACTTTAGTAGACGTTGAAACTCGGATGGAAACTAATTCCAAGAACGACTCTTATAGAAGAAGCATTAGATATGAAGAAAAGGAAATGGGGAAAAGAACTGAAGATTCTTGAGGGGAAAAAAAGAGAGGAGAAAAATACAGCAATTGGTAAGTGAACTACTGGATATGGGAAATTCGCAAAGGAATCAACCGAAATTAGGCCAGATCGAGGCGAAGGGGATTCAGATCTAAGGAAAGGGCAAACACGGTCTCGTAAAACTTACCTACTCCTCTGGCCGGGGTAGTCCCTGTGGACACCGTCGACGAGGAACAGCACGGTGGGGAACCCCTGCACCTCGAAGCGCTGAGAGAGCTCGTTCTCCTCCGTGGCGTCCACCTTGGCAAGCACCACGTCCTCCCCCCGGAGGGCCGTGGCGGCGGCTGCGTACTCCGGCGCGAGGGCCTGGCAGTGCCCGCACCACGGCGCGTAGAACTCGACCATCACGTGGCGGTGCTTCTCCAGGAAGTCGCTGAAGTTGCCGTCAGTGAGCACCACGACGTCCGTCTCATCGATTGTGGGCACCGCGTTGTGCGATCCGTGGCCGAGGTCATCGAAGGCCTCGTCCTGATCCTGGTCGTCGTACTCGGACTCATCGGTGTCCGAGTACGAGTCGTCGGCGTGGTCCCCAGAGTCCTTGTCTTCATGGCTGACGGCGACTCCCTCCTCCTCCTCGAGGAAGCTGAGGTCCTCCTCGTCGAGGTCCAGACCGGCGCCTCCCAGGGGGGCGGAGGCGACGACGGCATGGGCGAGGAGGAGAGACGAGATGGCGAGGGCGAGAAGGACTCGAGACGTCATGTCTCCACCTCGAGGTATAAACCGTGCGTTTCAATCACGGGGTTGGCGTCGACAGGGGTTTTTGTAAGGAAAACGGCAGCGTTGAAGCGCCGGTTGGACACGTGGGGACACTTAACTGGCGCGGCGACGTAGAAGGCCAAGCTTTCGTCGAGTGGCACGCAGCCACGTGATATGCGTCAGCTTCGAGGTCTGACGCGGGCGGGGAAATAGAGCCGCAGTTTAAAAGGATGCGGAGATCGAACCGTTGGTCATTGATCGTACGGTAATGATCAAGTAAGTGCATCCCACTTGAGTTCAGATGAGCAGCAGATCTTTTTTTGTGCGACAAAAAGAAAATTATTGCCTTGAGATTCGGAATTTCTGCCTTGAGATACGTGTGGTGCACTAAAGTGCCTGCGGTTTCCGAACTCGGACGCTCTTGTACAATTGTTGGGTCGGATTTACTAAGTTGCCACGACGATGAACGTTGACAATTGTTGGGTCGGATTTAGTCGTGCTAAGAACCGAAGACTCAATGCAAAGCTACGCCATTTTATAAGTCTAACATGTATATATAATTGGCTTATATTAGTTAGATCACGTCAAGATGGCTCATGCGACTTAGATTAGTTAGATCACACCATGTTTATATTATTTCTCTAAGATCCAAGGCTGAAGCGGGTTCAGATCCTCTGCTGAGTTCAAACAGGAAACCGAATCCGATTCCATGTCATTTTGAAGCAACACCATATGCTCGTGATCAGATGGCAGATTGGGCCGAGTCACCACGACACCCCTCGTGAGGCCAACCTCCTCGATCCGATCCGATCCGACCCGACCCGACCCAAATCGTGAAAAAGAACCGGAGTCCCTCAAAACTAGGGCTTCTTCGCCGCTGTTTCCCTCGCTCATCGCGCTCGGCAAGAAGGAAGGAATCGCCTTGTGATCGTTAGCGGCGAAATATGATTAGCATCCTTACTCAGGTAAACGAAACAGTTCCATTCGAACCATCTTTTCTACTGCTTTTCCTCCCCGCATCTATTGTAGACTTCGATTCATTTGGCTTTGACTCAGGTGTATGGAACCCGCCTTGTCGATTTCCTTTTCTTTTTTTCTTTTTTGTTGTAATGGTCTTGCAGTCTGTTTTTCCTTTGCTTGCTATCATTTTATTTCATGTAGATCTTTTGGAGAAAATAAAAAAGAAGAAGAAGATGGAAAAGGAACTATCTTGATCGAGCTTGACGTGTTAATGCAGGAACGTCTTCTTGGCGTTGCCTTGGGGGCCGCCTTCACGGCTTCGGTTGTTTTGGAGAACCGTAGGGCGATACACGGATCGATTTCTGACAACAGACCCGTATATTATGAGGTACGTTGGATCTGACTCCGAACTTTCTTCCTTGACATTTATGCTAGATTTATGATTTCGTTGAATTTTTTTTTTTTGTTACTATTTTAGCATTTGTTTTATTCTCCAATCTCAACGAGCAAACCTTGTTCTTCAATATGATCTTCGTCGTGTGCCATTGTGGTTTCCATGATTCTGAAATCTTCTTTGACGAGCAAACACAGTAACGGAAGATATTAGATCAACTAAAAAGAGTCAACCTTTGTCTATATCAGTTGGATATTTGTAGGACAGACTATAGGCAGCAGACATCTAAATTTCATGGCGTGCATTATATAAGGTTGCAAACACTAATTAGTTTATTAGTGAAGTAGGTGTTGATTCCTCGTTTACAGAAATGATATGGTATATGGTGATAGCCAGGTGAACAAGTATCTTAAAAGTTTGCAACCGTGATGTAAGTGATTCCATACACCCACTTAGGTTGGATCTGTGCTTCAGGATTCAAAGAAAGAGTTCATTCGAGGCATTTGTGTAAATGGATGATTTCTAGTTTGCTTTAGCTCAACCAATTGATATGATACATTTTGGATGTTTGGAGGGTTACATATTGGACATCATACTTTTAGCAAGTTGTGAATAGGCTTAACAATGTCCTGATTTGTGCTGTTATTTTTAGTTCTTTATGTAGTTAATTGGGCCTTAGTACATGGCAGGACTTTATCCATGGGAATGGAAGAAGTGAGGCCATTTATTGTCCTTAAGAGGAAAAAGCACTTGTAGGTTTTGATCTGAAAAAAGTAAAATGTATGTGTTATGGAGTGTTCATTCCTGAAGGACATCTTTGGTGCAACAGGCCTTTGTGTTTAATTCTTGTGAAACAGTAGAAAAACTCTATCTGAAGAGTAATCCTGGAATATCATAACTGGATGTGGTTTTATTTCGCTTGATGCCAAAGTACCCATGATCATAATCTGTGATCAAATATGTAGCTTGATGTCTTGCTAGATGCAAATGATGGCATAACCAGAGTAATAGATAAGCATATATGCATATACAGAACTATGGTAACAAGATCTTAAATAAAACCAACGATTAAGTAGGAATTTTAGCTAGAACTTCAATTGTTTGGAATATTGAAATATTGTGGAGCATACTCTGGATGATTTGTGGAGTCCTATTAGGGCTTAACTTGAAACTAAGAGTATTGTTGACTGAAACGATCCTGCTGCTCATTTTAGATTTTATATGAAGCCAATGTATGGAAAAATAAGATCAGTTTGAAATGGATTTTTATTATAATAAAAGCCATTTTTAAGGCCAGTTGGTCATTTTAATCATTTTTTTCTGTAATTATGTTTCCTGCTGCTGTATATATTTTTTTTTCTAAATCTTGTATTTCGCAAACTATCTTCTATCTCATCCCCATATATCATATACTTGGTTTAGTTGCATCTTGCCATTGCTTTACATGCATGACTATTTAAAACTAGTTTACAGAATCCCTTTTGGCCTGCAATTGTATCTCCTTCAATGTAAAGGTACTATTAATAGTTACACAGTAAACAAATAAAAAGCTCAACAGAGCCCATGTACTGAATTTTTTTTTAATTTCACTTCTCCTAAAGAGTGTCTGAGGATTTAGCATGGATGGTTAGTCATCTTATAACTTAAGAAATTTTTTTCCTCTGGAGATTACTTAACTGGATGATGCATTTTCTGCAAATGCAAAGAAAGATACAAATCAACATATGCATAGATTTACTTCAGACCTTTGTCAATTATAAACTGCTGTTTGCTTTTGAAAAATCAGAACTAATTTTCACTCTGAGATACAGTCTGCAATTCAAGGACTTTCTGAGGACCATGTATCCTTATTTATCCAAGAGCACTAGTTCTGGACCTAAGGACCATGGTCCGTTGGAAGAGTTTTTTCCTTAAACATTAGTCTTATCAGTACTATTTGTCTTCCTTGAACATTAGTCTTATACTTACTATTTGTCTGTGTATATTATTCAGCATGCGAAGTTGCTCACTTAACAGTGGATCATTTGATATCATTTTCAGTGTAATAGTTCACCGGAGTTCACAATTGCAGATTATATTATTTGTGGCATTTGATAAACATCTGTAGGATGGATAAAAAATAGAGCCCCTAAAATGAGTGATGGCATTGGTATAGTCCCACAAAATAATCAACTTATAATAAAGGTATTCAAACTACTCTTGTTTGTCCCTAACATAGTGAACAACCATTGAGTTCGACATTAGACCTGAACGTTTATTTTCACAATGTGGTTTTCTTAATTGCTAATTGCCTTGAAACATAATGTTCGTGTTTTGAATCTTTGTTGCCCTTCTTCACATAATGGTCATATTCTTCAAATTAATTGTGTAAATGAAACTTTAGTCTGTCTTTGCCTTTGTTGTCTTACCATTTTGGAGAAGAAAGCTCACTACCCTATTCATTGTGTTATTTGAAGCTAGTCTTATAGTGTGGCAATGCTGTTTTTCCTATATGACTCGTGCAATTTCAACACAACAACAACAAGAAGATTGTAGGTCCCAACTATTTGGGATCGCTACATGGTACTTTTGCCATCATTAAGATATGTAAAAAGTTATATGTTTGGTTAAGTTCAGAGTACTTAAATCTCTATTTATATTATCAGAATCATTTTAACACGAGTCAGCAAAAATATTAACTTTAATTGAATAATTTTTGTCGAATTATGAAATCTGACTTTTGCCAACTATCAATGTATTGATAAGGAGCACATGCTTGGGAAGAAGATGTCTTCTGAATTTGCCCAGATGTGGAACAAAGCTGTCGATGGGACACTAGGACAACTAATTATATATCTCAGCTCACGTGGATGGTAGTGAGTTCCCTGGATGACTTATCCAGAGCAAAAATCTAAGCAGTTGCTTCAATCTGCACGGCATATATTTTCATGGTTTGATGTGGATGCCCTAATGTTTGTCTGGTCTGTGTTTCTGAAATTTTGCATTTCAACTTGTCTGATGTGCATGTTTGATGGAATTTGTTCAGAGTAATTTTTCTATATCAAGATGGATTTTCGATAAGAAAACCAGAGTTTGTAATATTTTACTGATTGTCACTCTAATAATCCATACAGAATTTATGTTCTTCAAATATTCTTTTGACAAGATTCATGCTTAATTTGCAGGTAGATGTTTTGTTTGATAAGTTTCTGTTGGTACAAGTGATGTGTTTGTGTTATATATATAAAAGCAAAAGGTAAATGGTGATGTGATAAGGTATTTATCAGCCAAGTTAATTGGTATAAAAATTGAAGTTAATATTGTGTATATGTATGTATTTGACCCTCCAATATTATATATATTAATCCAAATCCATCAACATTAGGATCCAGCATAAAATCTAACAGATTGATCGCGATTTGTTTTAGGCACCTCTTATTTGTGCATTGACCTCATGCTTGCATGATTACCATCTATGCCATCATCGCTACAACATCCACCACTCCTCCAACGCGTTCCTTCACGCATCGGGCTGTACGGTGCCTTTCGCCCGCCTCACGTCCGAACGGCGCCTCACCACCACGACGTAGGATGCCAACATGGCCGCGATCACCACGAGCGCCAGCCCAAGCACCACGGCCGCCACCCCGCTGGCCCCGACCCCCCCGCTCCCCGCCGGGGACGAGTGCTCGCCCGCCGCCTCCACCTCCTCGTCCGCTCTCACCTTGGCCGAGGTCGCCGCCGGGTAGAACGACGACGACGCCAGGGGCATCGGTGCGCTTGCGGGCGGGAGGAGGAGCTTCGGATGGAAGAACTCGAACGCCGTCGGAGGGAACGGCATCGGCTCCTGGAAGGCCAGCCCGTGGGGCGACCTCGCCTGCAGCCTCACGACGGCGTGGTGTCGTCGTGCATCGCCGAAGTGCAGGAGGAGGAGAGAAGAGAGAAAGAACACCACCAGCGTGTAAGAAGGAAGTGCGAAGGCCATCGGAGCTCTCAGTCCTATACACCTCGATGACGAAGGCTAGGCTGTGTGTGTGTGTGTGTGTGTTATATGCACTGAGCGTGGAGCAACAGGGAGAAGCAGAATGATGCACTGGGGCTGTGGCTGTGGGGGGTGGGGGGTGGGGAGGAATCATAGCGTTGGGTTTGATGTGCTGCCATGGCCTTTGCTTCCATGGAGATCAGTTGAGGATTGAGGAACAATGATGACTCGTTGTTGTATTATTACCCGTGGATTCTTTTCAGGAATACTTGAGCTTCAGCATTCATAGCATAATGATGCAGAAGCCTCATAATTTGGTGCGACAGCACCATCTGCTTTGACTCCTTGCTGCAGCAGCAGATGTGTGTCAGTAGGGGATGAGGGAGTAGCATGGCACAGGTGGGATGGTGTTGCTTCTTCGATGAGCAAAGGCAAAAGTGAGACATATATATATATACATATATAGGGTTTTGGAGCCAACGCATGCCTGAGAGAATCAATGCAACCCACAACTCTATGAAAGCTTGTCTGGGTCTCAAGCGTTCGGCACGACACAAGTGTTGGTGGAAACGTTTCTCGTCATGCGACACGAGAGGTCCGTTCCCATGCAGGATCCCGATCCATCAAAGTGATGGGTGCTTTGAGATTGGCGCACGGCTCAGAGGCTTCGATAGAGAACTTGAACTCGGTTCTCGTTTGATGTGATGCATCCAAAATGATGAGATACACGGGGGGGTTTTATAGTCTCTTTTTGTTTAGTCACTTGGTCTCCAAGTCTTTTCTCTCTCTCCAACAAATGGTGATGATTCAACAAAGATCATGCGCTTCATTGTAATATCTCTTATTTTTAAATTTTTTTAAGGTCTTGTTTATAACGTAAGGATCTATTCCGAACTATTTATAAAAATATATATTTTTATAAATATAAATATTATTTAATAATTTTTATATTAAATAATTTTATATTAAAAGTTTGTTGTTAAGATAAATCTTAACAATCGGATATGATTTGTGAAAAAATCATATTAAGTTAAAAAAAAAATAAAAGATATGTTATTAGCTAACTTAAGGATGATATCGTTTATGCTTATTTCATGGATGACACATAAGCTTCCTTCATTTATGTGTGTCATCTGTCATTTTTGTGTTAATCAAATCTAAATAATTAGAGGAGAAGACTAAAGGAAAACTTACAAAGGGAAAAAATTTGTTGTAACGATTGTAGACTTTAGAAGAAAAGGGAAGGGGAACTAAAGTAGAAGAAGTTTTGTTTTGGCTTGAGGTTTTGGATCAATTTCTCACACTTGGGAATCAAAATTTTTTAAGACAAGTGTTCTAACTCTTTCCTATAGTGATTTTAATCTATGCTTTCATCTTGATTATGTATAATTCGAAAGATTTTAGTGAAAATTTTTAAGATTCTAACCTTTTGGTCTCATTTTAGCTATAACTATCTATCCAAATTTTGATTTAGACAAAACTTACATCATAAATATTTCTTTCTATAGCTTATTTTATGAATTTAGAGTATAAATACATACCCAAACATCTTTTTCAATCGATCCTATTGATTTTGTATAATAGAGAGAATGTTATCTAACCTTTTGTTACTAAATTGCTTGTAACTCTTTATTGAAAATCCTAATTTATATGAAACTTAATTTTTTTTAAAACTATACTCGTATATCTTTCTTTTTATATATTGATTAAAAGATTTGAAGTTCAAATGTCTACTTAAACATCAATTCTAATTGACCTTATAGATTCTAGAGAATAGGGATGATAATTTCTTACATTTCCATATTAAATTATTTATAACTCCTCGAAACTCTAATTAGTAAAAGACTTAATTCATCTGAAAGTAACTAATATATATTTCAAATGACAACTTTCTTGAGTAAATTGAATATAACTTTTTATCGATTTTATTTATTCTTATTTTATCTCTTTGAAATTGAATTAATAAGTATTGACTATTAGGATTAATAAGTATTTTAAGTCTTAGTTAGATTTAAAGTACTATTAGTTAGATTTTAAGTCTTAATTCCTCCCGGCGTTTCATCTAACATAATTGTATGTGTGTGTTTTTTTGTTTTCATCTCTAGTCAGCATAGGATCGTTGGGTTCGATTCCAATTTTTAGGAATCAAAGCTACAATTTCGATTTAAATCAAATCATGATCATCTCTACCAATATCAAGAGCTAATAGGGATATTTGACATAAGATTTGTAATTTCATATAGTACTGAAGTTTCAAACTCAGTTTGGTACGATATAGTATAAATATACCAAGCGATATATTTCGGTATATCGCTCGGTATATATAAATAAATATATATATATATGAAGACTATGCTTGCATGAGGAGAAGGAGGCGACATCGTATATTTCGGTATATCGCTCGGTATATCGCTCGATTTCCCCGCACGACAAAAAAAGGTGTCACCTTGCTCAATTTCTTTTGCTGGGGAGAAGAAACTACTTCTTCCCGTGATGTCGTCGAGGCTTCATCGTCGTGAATCTTCGAGTTTTCTTTTTTCTTCTTCATCTTCTTTCATCTTTATCATGGACCTTTTTTTTCTCCCTCTTTTTTTTGCCATCACCGACCGATTTAGAAACGAAAATAGTCTACTGACGTACTGGTATGTACTGCCAGTACGAATGATATTATTTGAAATTAAAATCCTTACTTTGACGTATCAATATTATCATAAAGAAGATGTGTTAAATTTAAAAATAAGAATTAATAGCAAATAAGGAGAGTGTTGAATCATAATTTGTATGAGGAAAAATATCATAAAATAATATTCATATATATATATATATATATATATATATATATATATATATATATATATATATATATATATATATATATATATATATATATATATATATATATATATATATAT